CCAGGAGGTAAGGAAGAAAGAAATACAGAGCAAATACTCTACAATTCAAAATGTAAGTCAATTGAAAAATAGATGAATCTATGTACTTCATATACTGCCAGGGTCTTTGAGAAGCTTATTATAAATGAATAACCCCTCGATGCAACTTCATATGGCCGACCAAGTTTGAATAAAAGCTGCAGTGACAGATATGTCAGTTAGAAACAGCAATACCAAATAAATAAATCCTTTAAAGAAGCAGCAAACATCTTATGAACAAAAAACAAAAACTTTCAGCAAACAAGAAGTCCATTCTACTTCAGCATCAGAAGAAGCGGAATCAAATTAGTAAAGAATTGCACACCTTTGATTGACAGGCAAAGAGATATTGTCTAAACTCAAATTCCCTGAATGAGTCATCTTGAACAATCTGCGTGAGCAGCTTATTTCCGGGATTGAGGAGTGCCGCTTGATCATCACCCTTATCTAATCCTCCAAAGTCCCTCTGCTTTGCAGTCATGTTGGCTGCATTTACATTAATAGCTATAAGACTGATCATAGTGCGGAGGTGAGCAAGGATCTTTAAAAGGACCAACATATGTAGGCTCCCTCTGTTTTTGCAGACATGACATGAATCTATGCTGACTATTTTTACAAGTAATGCCATCACAATGGATATCCATCCTCACAATGGCTGAGGTCCATGCACCAAAAGATAACACATTGCCTTTTATACAACTAAATTAAGATCATATATTTGGTGCCAACTGCTATGTAGTTACTAAGCCAAAAATCTGATATTCAAGGCAGTTTTTCACTTGTATTCTATGCTGTCCTTCTCATCACATAAATTATGATAGAGAGCCAAATTTTCAGTAATGTGTCGCAAGTTACAGGTAGACATAAAAAAACAAGAAATAGACGAGTCAGGTCCCCATAGCAATCCATCAGAATAATCAGATGCCTCCATTATATGAAAATCCAGTCAACAAAGACATGTTTCTCATCAGTGACATAGAAAGTATCAACAACGCATTCGTGGAATACGCACCTGTTTCCAAGAAGCAGAGTTCTAGTTCATCATACTCACGCAACGCATCTTCATGAAGTTGAGCCATTTCAAATATAAAAGCCAAGCTCTCCTGTTAACCATTACAAAAAATTAAAAAGAAAAAGGAAACTGCAAGAATAGGTTGCAGAGAAAGTTTGAATTGATTTGGAAGAACAGGCACTAGAAGACATGAAATTTCTGAGTGATGCGCCTCGTAATTGCATTAAGTACTACGCGCCTCATAATTGAATTGAGATGAATGGATAAGACTAATAAACCTAAGACTTTTGATAGAATGATCGTGCAAATGCAAAAAATTGATACATGCAAGATAAAAGGTATGCAGGCAACAGGTAAAATCAAAACAAGGCAACTCACTTAAGCTAAAGTTACACTTCATTCGATAACAATGGTCCACAACTTTGAGAAGGGAAAGACCTTCAATATGAAAAAATTACAGAAGTTCCAAATCGGCATGAATCGTTGTTCACTGAGCTTCCGTATCTCATCCTCGTAAAAATGAACACGCTTATCCAGGGTATTCCTGATGGACTCTACAATTTTCGATTCCAAATCTTCCCAGAAATTTGCTTCAGGACCGTGAATGTCATATTTGCAGCACCTGAGGCGAGGACATGTTCAAATCTCAGAACATGGTAAAGGCTGACAGCGACTTTGGAACCCAGTAAAAAAGAAGAGAAGAATAACAGAGGAACTTGCAACCGGTCACGAGAAAAATTACTCCTTGGACTTAGAGAGAGAGAGAGAGAGAGAGAGAGAGAGTCAATCTTAGCCTCAAGAAATGATAAGTGCTCAAGTGACAATGACATAGTCACACACCAGGGACACATCCATGCCACATTCATTCATAATTGCAATAGAGATTGGTGATTAAGTAAAAGAACTTCCAGGTGACATATGTATACTTATCGACCTTCTAAAATGAGTTTCAAGAGCTAGAAATAGACAAAAAGCTCTAATAAGAAGCAAAAGTAAACAGAGGGATACTGCTTAATCACGTTCTTTCTTGCTGCTCTGGTTTTGTTAAGTAGAAACTGAGAGGTATTACAGGAAATAATTAATACCTTTCTCTCTTCTTGGAGCTGAAATCAACTTCGAGCCTGGCATATACCTTTTTGGCCAATTTAGTGGCCTGATCATTAGTTGGATGAGCTCTGGACACAAACACAATAAACCATTCTCTCTCATCATTCTGTACAATTAGTTTCAGTCGTGGTTTCAGGATGGTTTTGAACTCATCAAGATCCTGCAAAAGGGTAATTGGCATCAAGGCATGTTCCACCAGCAAACTTAAGAACATGAAGAAAGCCGGCACTAAATCCTGAATGGCCACTATTATGCTTTCCAAATCCGGTCCGAAGCATTTTCAGATACACACACACACACACACACACACACACACACAACCTATGTATGTGGGAAGTCAACAGACAAAATTGCTGGAAAGTGTTGAATTACAAGAAAAGCTTCCATAAATAGCACAAGGACAGAAGCTTGGACTGACAATGCAAATTCAATGCAAAAGTAACTCAAGCTCTGCATTCAAAGTTCCTATGAGGTGGCCTTTCATGCTGTCGACCAAACAGCAACTTTGTTCATCAGTCTATATACTCAATCACATCTACATATACATGCAGTAATACCACTGATCATGTAAATTCCAATAAATCCGAAAGTAACAATCACCGTGATGAAGCAGGCCCTGCAAACATTATTTACTTCATTCAAAATAACCCAATATCAATTAAATGATGTGCACCTTCTTGTAGCTTCAAACCAGGATTTGGACAATTACATAGTTCGTCATCATGATATATCAAGAAAGCTCGTAAAGCTTAAAAGGCAAAGATAAATGGTTCGATAGGATGAGGCAAGGGATGAAGAGCCACCTCACAGGTCACAAGAATCACGGTAGCATATGGCTCCCGAAACCAAAACAACGATTGTTCCTGCGGAAAGCGGCTGCGAAGTCTTGCATCAGTCGTCAGGATGAATTCAGCAGGCAAGTTCTCGACAGACACAGGATTACGGGTCTTGTTATTCAAAGTAGCTCTTTTAAAAGGCAGTCTCTCCTCAAATGCATTCTTGATAGTTGGCCACAAGTCACTCACATCTTCAACTGAAAGTTAGTTCAGAGTAATTTAGAAAGGTCACCCCTAATGAGTAAAAAAGTTAATGCAGAGACAGTAGGAGAACCGATGAGAATACTCATGACATTTAAAATTAAAACATAAAAGTGGATGAAGGTAAATTGATGACGCTGGGAAAACTAGCCGACATATTGATGAAGCCCACATAAGATTAAATAAGATAACTTATCATGCATAGAAGCTCAAACCTATACTCAGAAGCAGAATCGTAAAAAATTTAATCAAAGAACTGCATGAACAGTCTCAACTTAAGCCTAGATCAACCAAGCAAAGATACATTCCTCCCTAAATTCTGCAACTTTCTAAAAATGAAAAAGACGATGCTTGATTATGCTCATGTTTCTCCCTCCGGAAAAAAAATAAAGAACGAGGGAATTGGAGATAATGCGACAATATTACTTGTTTCGTATACTATCCGGTTCTTACAGAACGCACATTTTAGATGACACGAATCTTCAACCCGCTAAAAAGTCCAGCAAAAGAAGTTTCGCTGCCACGACCGCGAGAAATTGAACGACTTCACAATTCAATTAACAAGAGAACAAATTACAGAGTGTGGCAACACTTCCCGGACATTCACCGCATAGTATATCACCCGCCAGTTCAGTTCTCAAGTACAATGCGCCATCGAAACAATGACGCCCAGCGCAGAGCTATCAAATCAAACAATTCCGAATAGAATGAAGCAAAAGTAAGCCATTTGGGCAGGGTGCACCACACACGGAGTGCGAATGAAGACAATTCAATCTCGCGCGATCTTAAGCAGACGGTTTTTACGGATCGCGACCGAGCGCCTCCATTTCACAAAATCCAATTCAAATCCAACAGTAGACAGCGCGCCCGGAAATCGAACAACAGCCCTTCGCGAGCGCATCTGAGCTCACAATCGAACCCGAAGCAGGGAGCGAGAAAAAGAAAGAAAAGAAGATCACGCGCCGCGACGACACGAATCGCTGCCGAACGAGAGCGAGCGAGCGAGGGGGACGCTCACCGGCAATCACGAGGTGATCGCAGGAGCTCTTGATCGTCTGGAACTGAGCCAGGTAGTTCGCCATGCTCGATCTACGAGGACCATGGGCCGATCGCTACGGGCACGGGCGTTCGCATGGATGCGCGCGCGGGGGCGACGGGCGGAGCGAGAGCGGTGGAGGAGGAGTGGCTCGGTGGGAAATCCGTGAGATTTGCTCTGCTTTGCTCGAGTGTGTGCATCTCCTCCTGCATCGTCTCCGAACTTCGGTTGCTGCTGGGATCCAGTGCTTCGCGACGCACGCAGGGCTCGGCGATCCGCGGGCCCTTCCTTCCGGGTCATACGTGGCGGCAGATGGTTGGCTGGGGCCCGCCGGTGGTGTTTGGTTTTGAGGGCATCTCTATCCTGGGCCAGGATTTGGTGCGCGATCGCGGTGATCATTACGAGACTGACCCCCAGCAGCACAAAATCCTGGTTTTTTTTTTCTTTTTTTAACTTTCCGAAATCTGAAAGCAACAAATTATGTTTTCCGTTAAAAACTCGGCGATCTTCGGAACTAGAAACCTAGCCTAAAATCTTTATTGTATCTAAAAAAATATATATAAAAATCCCGAATCTAATATGTCGAGTGCGCGCAGGTCATCGACTCAATAATTTTTTTTTCAAGTTCGGGTCGAATTTTAAACGTGATTGTATAAAATAGGAGGGGACGAAAAGGAAAATATTGGCAAAATTCGCAAACCCCAAGTTTGTCCGGACCCGAGAATATTCAAATTCGCGTGCACGTTAGAATTGTCAAAACAATGAACTTAAATGCCACAAACAATATTGCCTTGCTTGCGCTGATTTCTCCTAAAGAAAGACCAATTCCGAAAGCAGCCATCCGATCCGGACCAAGACATTAGAAAAGAAAGTAATAAAGAGATCAAAATTGATGCAATTTACATTGAACTCCGTCCGTCGATCTACCTCCTCGGAGCAGAACATGTGAAAACAACGAAACGGGAGAAACGCTCTAGTCTAAGCAACTCTAAGCCGTCGACATGGCGGAGAGCCTGCTCGGCGTCGGCCTGAAACTCCACCTCCGGAGGCTGAACCGGCGAGCCGGCGGCGTCAAGGCCCTCCGCAGAATCTCCTTGTTCGCCTGGTTCCTCGTCACCGCCCTCTCGTCGGGCACGACGTACCCGTGGCGGCCGCACTGGACCGACCCTGGATTCCTCGAGCACGTGCAGGCCGGCCGGCGCCGCGGGGACGCCGCCGGCAAGGAGCACCTGCGGCTGCGGCTGCCCCGGTTATCCCCGGCGAACGAGACGGATCTCTGCTGGAGGCGCGGCCTCTGGGACGGCTTCTCGAGCAGGACTTGCATGGTTTTTTTTCCGAACAGCTTTTTGGGGAGGACGATGGCTTGCGTTCTCTAAAGCGAAAAGAGGCGTGCTTGTGCATGGGCTTGCGGAGGGATGGGGATTTATCTTGTTCACGAAAGTCAGTGAGCGTAAATTGGCAGCTGAGAATTGACTGGTTCAAGACTTGGGGAGGACTGCTTGGAGTTGGACCGCGCGTGAGATTTGACTAAGGCAATAGGAATAGCTAAGTCAAAACCCCACAATTCGAGCTCAAGTGGGATTCTGCTTTGTGTATTGTAAGTGCCTTCTCAGCAACATTCGTGGAAACTCAGAACCAGCTTTGGACCATCTAGAACTTAGAAGAACCATCCTTTTGGACAATAATCTGGTCATAGGAACCAACCCATTATCAGGAAATGGTTTTGTTAGACAGGACGGCAAATGGTTTCAATAAGAACATGGACTAGAATATGAAGATGGTGTCTTACCCAACTTCATCAGAAAATGGGTTTGTTAGCACCCAAGTTCAGAATGGGTCAGGTATCTCTTGTGATCTGCGGATCTCCCCATCTCATCTCTTTGCGCACTGCACCCTCCGACGCTCAAGTCAGTATGAAACGTGTTGTTTCTACACTACTTACATTTACTTAGATGGCCTAGCGTTCCTTAATACCTCGGAGCGGGGTGGGATCAGGGAGCAACCCCCTCCGATGATGGGCTTAATTGATTTCATGTCTCCTCATGTATCCTCCTTATTTGCTGGAAATTCGGAGATGCGACTGTATAGGTCCGGGTCGCAGGGTCGGGGTCTCGCTATCGCCCTCTGTTGGGCTTGCCGGTCCTTCGTTTCCAGGACCGGTTGGGCCCATTGGGCTTTCCGGCAGGCTCCGCTCTTTTTCGGGCCCAGTATTGGACTCCTCCAGTAGGCCCATCACAAATTAGTACCAGAGCAGTGTCATCCGGTTTGAACCGAAGAAATTGCCCACTGTAGACTTTGGGACCTTCTATGAGGGTTCAGAAGTGCTCAATTGAACTCCAGCATTTTAAAGCACTTGGGATTCTAGTGAGCCCACAGTTGTAAAATGGGAAATGGAACTTGATCAACTCAGTGCTGATCTCCGGTTGAATCTGTGCCCATGTTAACTCTTCTATTTTCAAGGTAGAAATCACATGTCTTAGATTGGTTGAACATCCATCATCCCTTTGTGTCCCATTTTTCTTTTTTCGGAAACAAACGACGGAACTAGTATGAATACACTTATCGGGGAAGCGAATTGCTCTATGTAATTCAAAGCCCGCTAACGTATGGTTTTGGGGTGAGCGACGGTCCTCTTTCGACTTGAGAATCAACGAAAATCGTCTTGATCAACAAAAGATCATAGTCTACATCTCTCTTCCCTATATACATCCGAATGATCATATGCGGACTTCATTTAACGCACCATAAGAGATTGAAACTAACTACAAGACATAACCTTTTCACTTCCTCTTCCTTTTGTATCAGATGATGGTGGCCTGTAAGTACTACGCATGAAAAGTCAAGTTGGTCAATAAGGAAGGAATAGCTAGTCCACAATCTATGAGATGAACATCCATTGCTCATTTATGTGATGGCAGAGTCATGCAGCTGACGGTCTTCACTCGCAAACTCTTCATCGCAATATCGGAAGCACTTGTTACAAGATCTGACCGATTCCTTGAGAAATATTAACAATCTAACCGATCGTTCGGTCAATTTCGTTTAGGAAGATTTGAGCAATCGAAGGAAAAGAATCCAATGATCATACACATTGGTAAGTAATCCTAGAGTAGGAGCTTGGAAACAGCTGACAGTGTGTCAATTCGAAGTTATCAGACCAGCTTCTCATCCACAAAATTAATCGATCTCTTCTGCATATAATTAATGTGGCATCGTAAAACATCTCAGAAAATTGACATTAATTCATAGAGAAATTTGCATGCACTTCTCATCACCACCCCCTTTGGTGGCACTAGCCTTTAATGATAACCGCCGCCCGCCTGGCAACCGCCAAGTGTCTACTTCATAAATTGATGTTTGATATACACTCTGGCTAAGAGATCGTCCCCTCAATCCTAAAATTATAGGTTTACCATTGTTAGGCGACATGTTGAACGTTAACCAAGTATAAAGGAGATAGGCATGAAAATTGATTAATCTCTTCTGACCCTTCAAAGAATCAAACGCATATCCAGCGGTGTACTTAGCCTCTCCGAGTGCCTATCTGAACCTGTAAAACTCTATTGACGACCGACTTCCATCGTCCACGACATGAAGCTTGGATGGTTAAATATCGCAGAATCGGATGGGAAATGATAACCTTATCTTGATCTCCATCATAAGAACCAGCTCATGGAAGCAGTAATATGACTCGCCATGATTAAGTGAGATTTGTGGCGACACCGACATTACTACCACAAATTATGCTATCGATACCTCTATGAACTTTTCCTTTTCATTTCTGGCTATATAGATAGCAAGGTTCGGATTTCTGTTGTTGTCTTTCTAGTCTTTATATTGAAAATCGTATGCATTTTTAGCAGGATCTTCACTAGTAGAGTTGACCATTTCCTTTGTGCGAAAACACGTCTCGTTGCGATTGGTGACAGACTAGCAGTGGACTTTGCATGAGTTTTTGATACTTTGTCTTTTCGTGTCACTCTCATGACCTGAGCTAAGACACGAATAGTAAAGCCAAACTTCATCAAGAGTAATTTTAGAGTATAAGACTAGAGATCGTGACAACATCGTGGTTAACGAACATCAAAATAGAATAATAACTCAGACCTAGGAGAAATCAATATACATTCGATATGTACAGTAAGGTTATCATAATACGCAGTGGGGAGAGAGAGAGAGAGAGATTGATTACGGGACAGGATACAGTTTGTTTTTACACATGCAGCGGTAGGAAATAGGGCAAGACTCGGTGAGCCGTGCCCGTGCACAAGTTAAGCCTACTGATACCAATTTACAAGGAGAGCATGAACCACATGCGTGTGAGCAATCCGGCAATCTTGACCCGGCAATTCGAACTGTGTGCACCATCCCCTTCCCGTAGCTCGTTGTCCCCTCGGTTTCTATCAATGGATTCTCTTCGTGATCATCAGCTTGTTTGTCTCCAAGTATATCTGTCAAAAACCCCGAATTCTATTATTGTTCTCTTCAAAGACTGTAATTTCAGATATGAAACTGCGATAAATTATATGTGATGGTCATAGATGCTTAGTAGTTAGTTACCGTCAAACAAACATAGCAATCTCTTCTATCATTAGTCGTTACTCTCGAATGGAAACTTGCATGTTTCACTTGGTGCATGACGCTTCGCATCAACCTTAGCTCATGCAAGATGTTAGTTAAAAGTGTCTGCTGCAACTATCGTAGTTTGTTAGCCATGTGCATCAACATAATATATGATATCGAGCACATTTTTTAACCTTTTTGATATCTATGAATTTTAGTACTAACCTACCTTGAAGACAATAAGCATGACTGGAGACTAAAACATTAAACCCAGGCCATGCAAGAGACTATTAATTAACCCAAAAGCTTAGAGTATCGAGAAAGCTGGTCCATGTACATACTTATAAAGTTTCAAGTAAAAGGGAAAGGAGAACATATGTTATCAAGCTACGATGATAAACATGCCGGGGATGCATACACGGCGGAGCGCGGTCGGTTTGCCTGGCGGACGAGTTGACCCAAAGAAGAAGCGCTAAGTAAGCTGCAACGGCGCATGCAGAGAGATTCATGACTGATGGTGCTGTGCGTCTGTGCTAAGTGAGAAGATCAGCCGTGCATGCGGGCGTGTATATATACATAGTAGAGAGAGAGAGAGAGAGAGAGGTGGTGGTGGTGGCGTGAGGAGGATGGAGGTATTGAAGGGTATCACAGGCCGCATAGGGCTGCGAGGGAGGGTCACAAGAAAAGGGTTGAGGCCAAATAATTCCAAGTGCTGCTCATCACATGCTTCCTTATACCGCAGTGAATTGCATTGCCCCTGTCGCTAATGAAATCTGCATCGTTATATTCCTAGGAATTACGTGTGATCTCCGAACCGAACCAGTGGGAGAAGAGTACACGAAGATGGCGACACGGGCAAAGCGTCTGAACTCTGAACCCAGAATAATTATGAATGAGATGCATACATAACCTCATGTCAATCTCCCTTGAGCCCAGTTCACTCCTTTTGGGCCAATTCGTCAAAGCCCGACTGATGGAAGGGTTTTTTCAATGCTCATTCAAACGCCTGTGAACGGGGCCCGTATAGAACTAAAGGCTTCTGGGTTTGTGTAGTTCAATTGCGCGCAAAACTTAATGCTCGGCGTCCATAACAGGAAAATTGTCCAAAAATTCTTAAATCGATTACAATTTGATCAATATAATCATTAATTTTTTTTTAATTTTGACAATTGAATTCTAAGTATTTTCACGTTTTGCCAACTGAGTTCATTCGTTCAATTTTAGCCGGAAATCGCTAACGTGAATACTAGTAGTGCCACGTAGGATGCCCTACAATCGGTGAGGGCTTCACAGCCCTCCCCCAGTGGCCGATGAGGGTCAGCTAGCCCTCTCCTATGACCAACAAGGGTTAGCGAGCGACTCTTGCCATGCTTGGAAGAAAAAAATAAAAAAATAAAAAAGAAGAAAAAATATTTAAAATATATAACAAATTTAGAAAAATCTTAAAATTTTTATAAAAATTATTCACATCAGTGTCGGGCATGTCACGTAGGATGGCCGTTGTCCATGTCAACAATTTCCTGCTAAGATTAGCCAAATGGACTTAATTGGCAAAACGTAAAAAGATTTAGGATTCAATTGACAATGAAATGTTTGAAACTAAATTGGTCAAAATGTAATAAATTTAAGATTTTTTGAATAATTTTCCCTCCATAATGCCAAAAGAATTTCAATTCACAGACGGACCTATTGTTGAAGGTAGCGGGGCTCTCGCTTTTAACTTTTGTTCTATTATTTTGGCCTGGAAATTAAGTTTTACCCCCATTAAATGACGGAAAATTGATACAATCATGTCGATAGTCTCAGTTCAATTTTGGGCCCCATAAATTTATAAAGAATCATGAACAATTCTAGAATCATGAACATGTCGTTGCTGTAAGCAAACAAAACCTGCCCGACACCCAATTTACATCGTTCGTTTTTTCAAGTGCAAGAAAGCTAACTAATGATGCCAGAAATGCTTGTGTAGTTCTATTTCTTTCTTTATGGCCAGTTGACCAAATTCTCTCAAGGCCGACGATGGTACCGCGAGCAAAAGTCACGCCACGCGTCGCTCTACCCTTCGTCCGCGCTTGCTGAAGTGGCGCTGTGTCATTGGACCTCGAGGAAGTGGCTTGCTGTGCACAGGCTGTATGAAAGTGCCAACTGGGATGTCCCGATCATGAGCCGTCCCGCACTGAATGCGAGGGTTCAGATCAGCGTGTTCGGTCGGGCAAAAGCGTCGGTATGGTGTACCTCAGCCCAATTTAAGACGTACAGGTGATACGGGTCGGGTTCGAGCCTCGTGAATTAATCACAGCACATATTGATCTCACATCAGTCCAAACTCGCCCGATCCGCTACCGCGTATACCAGATTAGTCATGTCCGACAAGCTTCGGGGGGTAGATAATCCCCGAGCGCACTCGATGCAACTGTACCCTTTTATTTTCAGATCAGGCCGGATCGATGAAGAGAACTCGTGGAAGATTACCCGAACGACGGAGCAGGACGGATCTCTCTAGTCCATCAAACCGTCATAACAGCAATCATAAAAGCTTCGTTTCAATTTTTCTAATTATTTATGGAAAAATAAATCAAAAAAGTTCATCATTGATGTCACTGTGCCCCTCAACTTCTTAATCGATCAATAAAGAGTTAATACCACGAAAAATCTCAAACTAGTACAATTATGATAAATTTACTGTAAATTAATTCTTTTATCACAAAAAACCTCAAATTGATACATTTATGACAAATTTGCCATCTGTTAAATTGAATTAATATCACCAAAAATCACAGACTGGTAAAACCTCAAACTGGTACACTCATCAACTGCCACATGTTATCCAACTCAGAAATTTGACCGAGGGTAAAATTATCACAGATGTACTAATTTGGAGTTTTTAGTGGTCAAAAAATTATTTTTGAATAAGTTTGTCACACATTTACCGATTTAGGATTTTTCGTGGTATTAACCCATCAATAAAATACGAAATAAGGGGGAATTATTAATTTAGCACCTGATTAGGGGATTTTCCTTTTTTTTTTCTTGACGGCCTCCCGTGGTGGATGTGGACCGTGGATCTACCTGCAGGAGCAGCGGTGTTCTTCCTTCCCCACCGACAGCAAGTCAGCATCAATCATCGATGGCAGTTACTTTCTTTCTGGTGATGATTCATACACGAACCTTCAGTCACTCCTCGTCCACAAATGTTATAATAATAAGAAATGGGCAGTAGAAAAAGCAGATTTTAGCTGTACAACACATGCTGCTGCCTGAGATTCACGTTCAAGATCCATTGGGTTGCTTTGCTGTTGCGCCAACTGTACTGAATTCCCTCTTCTCTTTCATTTTTTTTGGTGGGTTAGCAGGATCTGTCATAGTAAAGTGACTTAACGCCAATTCTTGACATTTCATACAAATAAAAAATTTGCAGATGTAATGTAGCACTCTCTCCTCGCAGCCAAAAAGAGACAGCAAGAGAGATTTGGGAGAAGACTTGCCTTTTAAGTGATGGGGGTGCTGACTTCTCAAGCGACTTAATTAATTTGTTTAGGACCCTCGTTTTTTTGGTGAATATGGAAGGTCTTGCAGCCACTTCTTTGTGATTTATTACCTATTGGGATAATGACACAAACAGTCCCTGAACTTTGACCTAATGTGCAATTTGGTCCCTGAACTTTTAATTTGTTCAATGTTATCCCTGAACTTTTGGCTAATGTTCAATGTGGTCCCTGAACTTTTATTTTGTTCAATGTCATCCCTGAACTTTTGGTATATGTTCAATTCAGTCCATGAACTATATGAAAATGTTCAATATAGTCCCTCAATTTGAATTAATGGAAAGGACTGCATTGAACATTTTCATATAGTTCAGGAACTGAATTAAATATGTACCAAAAGTTCAGGGATAACATTAAACAAAATAAAAGTTCAGGACCACATCAACATTAGCCTAAAGTCGAGGGATTATATCAACAAATTAAAAGTCGCGACCAAATCGCACATCGCAAGAAAGCTCATTGGAATGTTTGTGTTATTTTCCCTTACCTATTTACTGGTGCGGTTGAAATGGCCACATTCGCTTGATATGGTAGCTTGTCCTTTTCTGATGGTGGTTGGTTTTGAAATATTCTTTTACAAACAGGGGCAAAGAGATGGAGTGGCATCTGATGCTTCTTCAACACATTGCAGAGTTATTGAGAATATATACCTAGAAGAGAGAGGATCAGAGGGGGGAGTGTTCGAGAGAAGTCAAAGAGGAGGAGGAGAAGAAGAAGAAGAAGAGGGTCAGATCAGATCCAGTTGTTGGGAGCAAATATGGCTTCGAAGCTGATCTTGATCACAGTCTTCATCTTTGATGTCATTGCCTTTGGACTTGCTATTGCAGCTGAGCAGAGAAGAAGCACTGTAAGTTTGTGTTTCGTCTCTAAGAACTCTCTTCCATGCTCATAAGTTGCCAATTCTGTGGCAATGGCTATTGTCCAAGTCGTTCAGTAATTTCATGAATTCGTTTATGGATTGCATCTTCTTTGCCTTATTGATAAGAGAACGATTATATTCACCAGCTTAGTTGAGAAACGATAGCATCCTTTCTCCTCCAAAGGGTCACAGCAATAGTAGCAAAACACCAATCTTCTGCTTCTCATAATTAGGATTCACACCTACAGTCAAAAAGCATGGCAAACCATAGAATTTCCAGATCTACTGATACCAACATTATATCTCGCAGAATTCCATCATTGAAATTCCGATTCAAAGAGAAAAAAGGGTTTAGCTTAAGATGCTATAGAACCAGATCTCGCTTGTTGAAATCATGTGCCCAGATGAAATCCTTTGATAAGTATACATACATTGTGGCGAGGTCCGCCCCTCCAAGGCTCCAGAGATCAGATACTGGCTTAATGCTGTAGTTCGGATCTGTGGTTACAAATTATGATATTGTGCAATTGCGACGAGGAATTCAATTGAATGTAAATCAAACCGATGTTCTAGATCCTTATTTTCCTGTATTCTGCAGGGAGGAAAGTGAATGCAAAACAAGCAGCAATTTGACTTTTGCACAATGAATACTTCCACATATGAATAGATATCTTTGTATTCTATATTCAAAAGTTGACCTTTTCTCGCCCAAACAATAGCATTACCTGACTTCCTGGGCAAGCGATGCAGCACCTCTAAAGAAATTAATTTTAAAAATATCAACTTCCTGGACATTTTCCAAATCTTTGATGTGTCTCATTTCTGCTGGATGTCAACTCTCAGAAGCATATATTGGTGGTTCCTAACTAAAATGGATTCGTCTCTTTTCAGGCCAAGATTGTCCAGGACAGTGAAGTCCAGTACAACTACTGTGTGTATGACTCGGACATCTCTACCGGCTTTGGCGTCGGAGCATTTTTGTTCCTAATGCTTAGCCAAGTCATCATAATGGCAGCGAGCCGCTGCTTCTGCTGCGGGAAGCCCTTGAGTCCCGGAGGCTCGCGCGCTTGGGCAGTCATTCTTTTCATTACCTGCTGGTATGCTTCAAGTACTTTTCCCATACGTAATTAAAATTACGCATTGGGAATTTGTCATTCGGTTAATCATTTGATCATTCCGGCTTTTGAAATGATCCATCAGGGTGTTCTTCTTCATCGCGGAGGTGTGCTTGTTTGCGGGATCGGTGACTAACGCTTACCACACCAAGTACAGGACCATCTTCAGCGAGAACCCTCCCTCGTGTGAAACCGTGAGGAAGGGGGTGTTTGGCGCCGGGGCTGCCTTCATCTTCTTCACGGCCATCGTTTCGGAGTTCTACTACACTTGCTACTCCAGGGCCATGGAAAGCTTCCAACCTTATGGCAGAGAAACAGGTGTGGGCTTGGGCGCCTTCAAATGAGAGCTTTCCTTGGCTTTGGGTTGATCATATTCATGACCATGGATATTCCATAGGGATATTGTGTAAGTTTTGAGGTGGATCTCATCCAGTAATAGGTTTAAGGTAGTCGATCATACCCCTGTATCGTCTGAACAAACTCATATCATGATACTGCATTTGTTCTTTTGGGTGGGGTTTGTCATGTATGCATTAATAAGGCAATGATATTGTTTTTTTTTTTTTGGTAAGGATAAGGCAATGATATTGTTTTTTTTGGTAAGGGGCAATGATATTGTTTTTTCTTTTTCTTTTTTTTGGTAACCCAGGGAACCCCGCACGGCCGACAGCCGGGAGGTAAACCCTGGGGGCGACACGTGCTAGCCACCACACACGTGCACCGGTTAAGTCACCCTGTGGCGCCCGATTCGAACACCCAACCTTTTGCGAGAGGAAGAGTGCCCTTTCCAGCAGCGCCACCCAGGCGGGTGGTGCAATGATATTGTTTGTGTCCATAGAAATGCAAAACACCGTCGATTAGGCCGATTAATCTTCTCGATCATTCCGAGTTTCAGCGACAAGTCCCCATATTCGGACTTGGAATCGTTTGCACCCGCTTTGCAGTCGTGGCTGATATAATGAATCTTCAACCATAGCCGCGCTTGGGAATAGGCTGATCTACTTTCAAGATTACTCATTTATATTAGTACAATGTTAATAGGGGTTAGACTTTAAGGTTTAGGGCCTATTTGGTAACCGGTCAAACAGTGCCTGATTCTATTCTTTTGTTCCCGGGAACAAAAAAAGAACAAAAATATGTTTGGTAAATTTTTTGTTCGCGGGCACAAATTTGTTCCCAGAATCAAGAATAAATAAAAAAGTTGATTCTTGATTCTGGGAACAAAAATCAAAAATGAAAAAGAAATTCTTTTTTCTTCTTCTTCTTTCCTAGCCAATGGCCGGTGAGAGGGAGGGCTTGACCCTCACGACCTAGGCGAGGGCTGGACCCTCACGGCCTGGGCGAGGGTTGCCCTCACCGGACCCTCACCAGATCTAGCGAGGGCGGCCCTCGCTGACCATGGGCCAAGGAAGGAGAAGAAGAAAAAAAGAAAGAAAGAAATATTAAAAAAATTCAAAATATTATTAACAAAAAAAAAATTTATGCAATTACCAAACACATTTCTGTTCTTTTTCTATTTCGGGAATATAATTTTGGACAGTTACCAAACGCTTTCAAATGCTTAGAAATTATTTTCGGGAATGGAATAAAAAAATCATTTCTGAGCAGAAATTATTTTCGGGAGCAGAATGGTTATCAAATGAACCCTTAGTTGACAAAAAACAATGGGACATAAGACAGAGCCTTGATCACAACAGTGGTTCTATGGAGCACTTGGAAATGGGTTGGGCCACAGGATTCTGTTTTGATGTTCTGGGTCGGAAGCATATTCCATTGGGCACAATTCAGAAAAACTCTAGATCATGATAAGAACTGGAGATGTATCACTAGACATTTGCTCAACGTGTGGACCTTATGCAAGTATCTTTAATGCATCCGAATTGCGGTACATTTGCTCAACGTCTGAATGTATTTCTAGGTATGTACTCAGTGCATCGAATGACTAAATTCCAGTAGTTGAAGTATAGTGGAATATCAATCCAATCACCAAACTTGGATTCCCATCGGCCAAGGCATTAAGGTCTTGTCGTTTTACAACCAATGCAATTTGATGGTAATTCAACCGATTTTCCCTGCGAACTCCTAGCACGACAAACACGTGGCCGGACTTTCAGATGCAACATCATTGCCGTGCGGGCTCCTCATCAGCATTCCGGTGGAAATTTTGTTGAATTCCAATCGAAGTGAAAGTGGTACATGGTGAATCCGGGGTACTTGAGGCCTCAATTAGAGCGAAGGTACCATATCAGATGAACCGATGAAAAGGGGTCGGTCTTCACCTCAAATCTAGCAGATGAATGACATGATCTTTGTGTTTTTGAGATAATGAATTGTTTTGTATGAAACATGACATGATAAAATTTATGGTCGTGGCTTTTCTCTGGGACTCGGAATCGTGACCGACCAGGGCGTGCATCTGATTAGACTCTTGCCTTTTGTCGATGATGAATGAAATCACAAAGCGTGGAGACATGGACTGCTTAGAGAAGCAACGGGAGACCTCTTTCTCTGTCTCGAGGGAATCAAAAGTACGAATGGAAAATTGCTTGGTTGCCGGATGTAGTCCGGTGGGGCATCCTTTTGTGGCTTCTTACTGACCCACGCTTGGTAATATATTCCCTGTGCGGGCAGACACTGCCTTCATCGTCGGCTGGACTCTCCTTTTAGACACTTTTGAAAAAACGATTCCGAGTTGAAAAGTTGATGATGCTCTTTGAAGTTTGATGTGTCATTCGTGGGAAAAGTGCCAAAAATGTCATTAATCTATTGCATCGGCATAGTTCTAAACCTTTTAATTTGACCAATTCAGTCCTAAACATTTTCCTATCGGTATCAATTTAGTCCATTCGGCTAATTTAAGCCGGAAATTGTTAACGTGGACTCTGGCCGTCCTGCATGGCATGGCCGGCGTTGACGTAAACATTAAAATTGGCAGGATGAACTGAATTGGTACTGATGTAAAAATGTTTATGACTAAATTGATTCAATCAAAATGTTTATAACTAAACTGGTACAAATGCAATAGATTTAAGACTTTTTTTTTAGATTTTCCCTATCTTTGGTCTTGAGTTTTCATTCTCTCCTTTTTACACAATATCCTTTATATCTAGGAGATGAGCGTTTGAGGTATCATTACTTGTGAGACCTTCACGGAGGATCGGATCGGAACATGCCTGCAATGCTCCATGCATTGGACAAGATCAAAAAGGGAACGACTTTGAAACAACTCACGGAATCGAACCGCCTCGTTCCCAATATAAAATTTCATTTTACGTGAGCGCGGCCTCCCGAGATCGAGACACGTGTGCCCCTCGTCACATCGAGCAATTACCTACTTTCGAGCAAACGAGTGCCGCGATTTGGAAGATGTGTGGAAGAACCCCGTTCGCTAGGGTTTCGATCCGTTCCTTCCTTATTACAGTCACCTACCTTGTACTGAATTCCTTATTCACGTAGAGCTGAAAAAGTGGGTGCTGCAGCTGCTGCTGGTTCCACACAGTCGCTTCCCAGGAGCACAGCTTTCATGGATCTGTCATTTCGTGCGATTTAATGCAACGCCCATCAACGGGCGACGGAAGAGGAATTATGATTACATAAGCGGGAGCCATCGGTTCGTACGTAAGCGCTTTGATGCGTTTTAGTTTTTCGAGCTGAACCCCGCAGCATGTCCTCCTGTGAGACTGGCGAAGTTAATGATCTTTCTTCAGATCTCCACCAAATTCCATTCACTGCTGGCCCATGTCATTGGTCTGGTGCCATCGTTGCCCGATGCCTTCCGTTTTCCTCAGGAAGCATTGCTTGACGTCCATGGCGACGTAGCTTTGCAGACTGTGAATTTCAAGCAAGCATTCAAGTTTCCCAAATGTGCATAGCTATGTGTAATTAAGACAGTTTTGAAGGTCATTGTACATACGATAGAAGAAGGAAAATGTGAGCAATGACGAGATCGTTTCCTAAACGAGCCGCCTCTGTTTTGAAGTTCTCGTGACTCGAACTAAATCCTGCGATCTTCATCTCGGGCCGATGATAACCCCAATCAGGCCACACCCACATGAAGCGAGTCAATCTGTTTCACTCTGATGGATTTGAGTATATGTGCCCGCACAAACCGAATCGAGGGGAACACGTCCTGGAAACGTCACGTTCGTGTGTCACAGCACAAACATGGACCGTGTTGATTTCGATGGAGCAATGATTCTCTACAAATGTCAAAAGGGCCAAACTCCGGAACATGTCGTGGCTCGGTCCTTGCTTGGACTTTTTGCTATCATCAATGTGCACACTTTGTTTACTAGAAACAGTACAGTGCACATGTGACTGTGAGCTTGTAAACGTGGTGGAAAAATGTCACACCTTTTGACCACTTACATATATTTGGAATGGCAAAGATCACGGTTGTCGATTTTCTTTCATTTTCTTTGTTCTTTTTTGTTACTTCAACCCGTGTTCTCTCAGCACGCTCGGTACAAAAGAAGATTTGAGCCGGGGCATTGTATTCTGGAGATAGGATTTCCGAACTACCCAACCGTGTCATCATCTTTTAGATAGTGTTGTCGATACGCCTTTGCCCCGTTTTCCTCTTTACGTCTTGATAACTTTCGCAGCCTCCCTTTGGATACCCCCAACACAAAACGAATCGGGCGAACCCGAGTGGATCATCACAGACCATTGAAAAGAAAATCAGTCCGAATTGCAATTTTGAATGCTGTGGCCACGAAGAAAGTGGCCATTTTCTTTATTTTTCTCAAAGCATGCAAAACCCAGTTGGGACATTCGATTGCTGGCTCTTTTTCCTGATAATCTTGTTGTTGTGCGTGGTAGAGGCATAGGGCCTCGGTACTCTCAGTACTGCAATTTTTCACGATTATGTTCGTGAGTGGAAGTTATCATCGTATCTTCCGTGTCAGGAGAATCAGATCCTATGTACAAATTCACTCGTTCTTGTTAAATAAGGTGACTGATGTCATTCTTTGGTCAATCCGTTCCTTCTTTTGGTACTTAATGCTCTCTTGGCTCTTCCGTGGCCCTTTGAAATTGGAACAGCAAGTTCCCCCGTTCTCTAAAAGGCACCGGTACATTAAATGATCGTTGCACCCACCAACCTCGGTTTCCAGGGCGCGTTGCGTTGTAAATCCCCCTTCCGATCTTTACCCTAATCATATTAAGATTGAGTTTTTCCGCCTATTCCGGCACGGAGTATGCATGCGGTAAATGTGGCGATTTCGAAAGGACCGGTCGCCGCTTCCTTTTTTCCGGGGCATTCGAGAAGTTCGCTAACTCGACCAATATAATGAGGACCCTAATAATTAGTTAATAATGATTGGCAAGCAATAATCAGACGATTTGTCAAGCTTTGACAATGAGGAGAGATGCAAAGGGGGCATGTTAGATCGCTGTTCATCTTGAGTTTTAACCTTTGCCCTCAGCAGGTTAAGCCCTAGGACAGGCTGGTTGGGAATCAAGCCACGTGGTGTGTCTGCATTCAATTGTTGGGAAACTTAATTATTTGATCTGTGCTGGTTCTTCTATCGTAACATAATAAGCTTAATCACAAGCGCAAAATAATGTGGT